TGCAGAGAAAATGTGGTTTTATTTTCTTTTGATTAAAATTTGTGATGTCTGAACTTTCTTATATATAGTATATAAAAGTTTTGTATGTAAGTATGATAAATCGAGTATTTTAACTAATCAAAATTTAATAATAAAGAATTAATGAGGAATGCGTATATGTAATTAATTTTTGACCACTAACGTGTAGATTCAAGAATAAGTTGAAACTAATAGGCGCTCATTTGAAACCTTAAGTGTCAGTAAATCTGCAAAATAAGCTTTATTTTATGCGATTATAACCTAATTTTTACTCACGATGAAGATGAAGGGCATCTTTAAGTGATGTCCCAACAGTAAATTCTATAAGTGCACTTGGATTTGTTATTCTATTATACATATTATATTATGAATAGTCATTACACTTGACAAACTCAAATTTCGTTAAGTATATTAAAATCGTACATGGCATGTTTGATATCGGTGTTATGTATATCTAGACCATCATAGTCAGGCTACAGTATATTATCCTAAATTATAAGAAAATGATATTTTATATTGTTATAAATACATTTCAAGACAGACCATTGAACTTGGCATCCATTTAGATCTCACCTCTTTTATCGTAGAAGTCAACAATCAAGGCATATATCATAATATTGAACGAGGCTATTATTTCATATTTATGTTTTTGATGGGATACATAATTTTATAATATATTTATAAAATAATATATTCGGTAGATTTGAAATCACTACCTCTTAGGTGTAATATAAGGTAGTATACTATAGTAGTGTATACTAGGTCAGGAGTTCTCATTTTTATTATAATCCATCAAAATGAAATAGAGCTACAAGTAAGTATCACCTACTCGGCAAATAACCCTGCATGTGTAAGGCTTCTACGCCCTGGGTATATTACACAGTATGTAACATATCCGCTTTTCACGCTACTATTTAAGGTCATGTTGTTGCTGGAATAAATTCCCATATATCTACAAGATCCTAATTATACGATATAATATTCATCGATAAATATCCATGAGTTTACACCTACATACTATGTTATATTTTTTCTACGAAAATATTATATATTCATTACATTCATAGGCTACGTTACAAGAAGTTTGTCATTAGACGATCTAGGCTTCACTGTTACCACTGTGTTATGACAGGGTTATGAATAGTATTTAACAAATTAGTCACTGATATTATTTAACAAATTGCCATAAAAAATAAGAACAGTGCGTCCATCGTGATCAGTTTAATATGAAAAAGTCTCATAATAATACTAACTTCGACGCCCTCTGTATCGAGTCTACGCGTGGTTCTAATATTGTATTGACCTGGGTGATTTCTTTGTATATATGTATTTACAAAAAATGCAAAATATGCACTTCATACATAAGTCAAATTAGTGAGCATGAGCATGTAGAAGCAGTAAAAGACAATAACAAACACAAGTTTGTCATAACTAAACACTGAATAGTATCGGGCCCGAATTGGATGGAATTTTCTTGAGAAAAATATAATCTCGTGAAAATTGTGACGTCCCTATATTGATGAAAGAAGCCATTAAAATTTATAAATATCAAAATTTCCATAGGGAAGATGGATTCAAGTTGTTCAACATATGAAATTCAGTGTTAGGCATACTTAAAAATTAGTATAAAACTAGATATACTTAAAAAAGAATTAGAACAGTGAGAATATATTTTTGTGACTATAAAGTGTCTTACAGTAGTAGTGGTAGTACTAGACAGTACGTAGAAATAGAGTAAGAAAGTGGGTAGTCAGATTTGTCTGTTCATAATAATTGTTTACATCCACTGCCATCTTCAGTCGACCCATGACGTATGTAACAGTGTCGAAATATCGGCAGCTCTTCAATAATATTATCTCGGTATTTACTCAGATATTTAACTCATTTATATAATCTATACAATAGTAAACAACCAAAATTTAAAAAGTTAAATTAGTACTATTTAGTATTCAGTAATCGTATTCAGTTAATATCCCGTTAATACAATTTAGTAATTTTATTTCTTCATAACAATGCACCTAAAATATTTACTTGTTTCATTTTTGTTAACTTAATTGGTATATTTAGTCATTCAATACATAAATTCAGATAAAAGTGGCATAATGGAATCTAAGTTTATGATCTAATTACACTTTGCACGACATCGGTCGCTAACGAGGAAAAAGAAACGGTGGCAGTTGCTGGCATTTTTATTAGCGTAGCTTTATTATCATGTTTCAATGTTTCAAGTAGGTTATGTAGTTTATGTATTAAGTATTTAAGTAGATTATGTATTATTACACTACATTACTTATTTTCAGTTAAGCTGTGGTCTGTGTTTCCTCTCATCTTTGTCTTTTATCCACTAGTCCATTCCGGCTTCGCGTAGGTAGACTTTTTTACACCTGGCGTTAAAATATTGAGGTTATAGTAAAACCTATAATTTATTCTAGTAAAAAATATAGCCTATTTTACTGAGGGATAATGGTGACAGCATTTTTGAAATGTGATACTTATTGAGTGTTTCCGTTACAAACAAAGATACAAATGTTTTTTTTCTCCTTATATAATAATATTATTGTAGACAAAAATTGATCTAATAACTAACTGTCCGCGACTGCGACTGATACGACTAATTTATCTTTACTTATATTATAATATATAATATATTATAAAATTACTTTTAAAAACATTTAGCCGGTTTCGTGCAAAAATAACAAATAGACAGACAGACACATTTTGACGTTTATAATATTAGTATAGATTTTTAGGCCCATAATGTTTGACATACACATAACACAATGGAAAATAATGCTATTAGAAATGTTGTTGTGTTTACGTGTTAGTACATCACGGAATCTTGATTGAATGGATTTCGTAGAAAGGCGGTATTTATATCCGTTCTACATTTGTTCGAAATCCAGTTAGTTGATGATTTGTTCTATTATTTTGACAGAAATGTTATGGTTTTAAAAAACTACGATCAATTTGAAATAACATACGATAATAAAATTCCTTAGTTTAAAAAAGACGAACTTCCTAGCTTTCCATGAATTCACTATGCGAGAGCCGGGTCCATCCTATAGCAGAATGGGAAACTCCGAGCAGTTTCCGGGACTTGTGACCAGGTGTAGGTTGAAGGGACACCTTGTCGACGTATGGCAACACTCACCATCACCGCTCGTATTGTCCAACCAAATATGGTAGCAGTCTGCTAGTAGTATCTTTAGATACATGTTCTAGTAGTAATAGAATTTATTGCAGTTCTAGAAAGGTCAAGAGAAGTAGCAGATTGTAGGGAAATTTTGTTGGCATACCTCTCGCTCCCACTTCGACCTCATATAAAGAAACCACGCAGCCATTTTCAGTAATTTCGTGTAATTAGTTCGTAATCTTTATGCTATGATTTATAGAAATTGTGACTTGTTTTAAAGACCGCACGACAATGAAATTCCTTAGTTACTAATGCGTTATTTTAGGAAAATACTTACATAAAAAATATCAGAAAAATATTTAAATAAATATATTATAGGTAGTTTTCAATAGTAATAGAAAACACCCAGACCTATACTGATATCATGCGAGGCATTAAACCCGTGGACATCGGAAGGCGGTGTTCTAAACAGCAAAGCAAGACTACGGAGGCCATCCACTATTCAACAACTCTTATATTATTCAATTTTGAAGTTACTTTAATAATTGTAGTAGTTTCATTTTTATATTTATGTAGGTAAATAGCAATATAAGAAAAGTACTAGAAGAACGGAAATTAATTTGAAGAATTATCAAGAAGTGAAGTATAAACAAAATTATACAAAAAAGAACTATAAATTTAAGTACAAACTTCAGAATAAAGACGTTTCTGATTAACCAGTAACAACAATAGTGACCCTTGAAATATATTCAATCGAAAAGCCAACGAGCATAACAAAGAATCAATACCAATGAAATGTCAGAGGAAAAGATCACAACAATGGCATTATTAACAATTGAAGCGATAAATTTCAATGCCGTCCCAATTGAATTCGTTAAATTATTGGCTTTAACTTCGTAAAACTTTGACATAGAACAAGAGACTTTGCGGTCTTGAAAGGAAAATTATGTTGTATGCCTTTATCCTGCTCTAGTAATTGTTTGTGTTACAGTTCGAGTGAGATAGCTGTGAAATTACACGGTTAGAGATCATGACATTTGATTCTCTAGTAAAGGAACGTTGTTAGATATTTTGTTGAATAAAAATGCCTATCGAATATGGCGAAGTGAAAGAAATCGGTGTAAAATGAACATGGAACTAAAATGAGAGTGAAACTACTTGATTTCAAAAAGGTTAATCAAAGTCTATTCCTTATTATAAAGATATTATACAAAACATCAACAAATAAGTGTTTATTTGTGGATATTTTAGACTATAAAAAATTGGAAAGGTTCCCAAAAAACATAAAACATTTAATTTTGTGTGTTTATTTTGTAATTCTATACGCTAACCACCATTTTAATAAGTAGTTAATTACTAAATAAATAGATAATGATGTATATATGTTTATTTGTTATTATATTCATATAGTAAACTTATGCTAATGAACTAACAGATTCTTTTTTACTTTTTTACTTTGTTGTTGGTGTTTTAGTTTTAGAAATTATTGTTTAGTTTGCGTTATTATATCTAACATTTTTAATGAACCCTGTACATAAACCAAATTATTTAATGTAATATTCAAGAACATGTTATCCCTTTACATTAAATATATACACTATCTTCTCATTTCAACTGAACATTACAAGAAACGCTTTTATTTATACTGTTATATGTACATATCATAATCTAATGTGATTAAGTTCATATGTAATTGTAGAATTCGGCGAGGCCTAATTCTACTAAACTTCTAAATTTTTATCAATAATCATGAGATGATTATTGATAAAAATTTAAAATTTTCGAAGTAATTCCAAAATAGCCCTCTTTATTTTAAAATTAATTTTGAACATTATTTTTTTCTTTCCAGAATGAATGCCTACACTCAGCAGTGACGTCACTAACGAAGAACCAAGCAGAACATTACGACAAATACAATTGTCTGTGAGTACCAATAAAAAATGTTTTATACCTTTGCGCAGTAAAATGTACCTCTAATCAACTTTTACCGTCAGCCAGATTATACTTAATTAGAGCGACCTCTTAATTGGCCTGTGTAATACTAAACACATTTTATATGGGAGAATAAAAGCCTGAAGTGATTCTTGTTCAACTCTTGTAGTCATAAAATAAATAGGTATTAAGTATAGTGATTTTATGTTACGTAAAAGTATAACACACAGTAGGTCTTCATTCTTTGTTTTACATGACTGCTTTCGCTTTGTCACAAAAACGAGAAACTTATATGTCTTTTTTGTAATTGCTGATAAAAATATAAATGAAATTGCAAACATGCTGATGGCCTATCTAATGTTAAGCTGCAACCGTCGTCTATATACATGAGCAATTGAACAGTCCTAATTTTGTCATATTGTGTCTGTGGTTTTGCAAGTGAAATTGTAAGGTACGGAGGCATGACACTTAAGTCTCCTGGGATGGCAACGCATGAAGGTTGATGCAATGTATGTGAAAAAGAGAAGAAAGCATTGTGTCGTCTCTAGCGCACACTGCTGGCGTCATAAGGCCATTACGCTGTAACCGTTGAATGAGAACAGTGATGTGTCGGAGAGTCGATTTTTTATAGATGATAATTGATTGGTGCACCCGCCTGCGTTAGCGGTTTACGCTGGCGGAGCACCAGTGTAGGATGATTTGGTCAGCACAAGGTCATGTCAGTTAGTCCATTGTGGCAAATTCACCACGAATTTATCACGATAGTTTCCAGGGGGAACCGCTTAGAGGTCAACCTGACTTAGTATGTTACTAGCAATGGGGTTATTAGTCCACATTACTAACAATCCCTTCCAAGAGCCTATAATTGGGAATACAAATAGTATAGTTACCGATGGCGTCAGATAACGATATGATATCCTTGGTCCTGTTTCATGAATATTAGAAAGATTTGTCACTTACCATCACATAGGTCTTAGTTTATTTGCCATTGCAATTATCTACAGAGAAAGTTCTTTAAATTCCCTTTATCACATTAATCAGTAATAATAAACTTAAGTTTTCAAAAATAGACCATATGTATTTAACATTTATGTGTTAATTTCATTATCTATTTTCAGCCGAAGACTACCAGATGATGTAAGGAAATGTAGAAATTATGCGTACTTGCAAGAAATATACGACGCGGTAAGAGCGACTGATAGTAAGTATATAACATTGAACTGTACTAACTACTTAGCGAATTAGGGCACATTTACACGATAACATTTTATTGCCTTTTATATACGATAACTGTAAGTGAGAGGTTAATCTATATTATTTTAATAGAACTAATAAGCTAACTAATAACTAATAAGCTGCCAAATGTTATGTAAACTACATTATATGATATACCTAAGTAGATTTTGTACAAAGTTGTCCCTCTGGGTATTTCTATCTCTTCACATATATTTCAGCCACTAAACTGCTTGCTCTGAAAGATGTGTTTCAGGACTACAGTAAATATATGTTTATACACATTAAAAAAAATCGTGTAAATGTGCCTTTATTCTTTCTCGTCCTTTTAGGAACCAAACGAACAAAAACAGTTCGACGTAATTTTTTGCGTTCGTATAGCAGCAGAGTCAGACTGACTAGCTATTTTTACTACGGGAAAATATATAACTCCTTTGGGAAAACGGCTGTTTCTTCTAATTTTGTTGCCAACAATGGCCAAACCGTAGATTAAAGCTTATGCACAAATAACGTAAATGTGAAAGTTTGTAGGGTTGAATTAATTTTAAAGTTATTAAACTTCTATAATTCAAACAGATACACCATGGATAGTTTCTGATTTTTTTACCCCACTTGACTATTTCATTATTTATGTTATATCTTCTCTAAATTAAAGAAATACTATGTATGTTGATTTTTAACAACTATTATTACAAACACAACACTTTTGTGTATATTTTGTAAATTATTAAACTAGAGTTCATAATTATTCAGTACCTTCAGTTTTGTGTATTTTCCTTCGTTTGTTCGTTCATTGGGTTGTAATTGCATGAAGATATTCTATAGATACATGTAAATATGGTAATTATACATTTATGTGCGATATATATCTTATTGTCTTAGAAACTGTAATCACGCTCCATCCATTTGTTTTTTACTTAATCTAAGAGAAGGGAATCTAAGACGAATGATTTTTTTCGTAATTGAATCCGGTGAGGAAATTTCTTATCGTTCTCTTATTAAGCGGAGTGATTGATAGCTCGGATATTTATCTCCGATCTCGTAACAGGTAATCAGAAACATATAGATTTAGATTAATTTCTATTTCTGTTTCTTAATATTACTTGTTGTCACTTACTAACAAAAGATGGGTCTCAATTCTTAAAATCATATATATTATGTAAAAATATAAAAATTTTAGCAAATTGATAGTTAATTGTTTTTTTATTGATACTTATTTATTTTTGCATTAAATTCATGCTTTTATAATAAATGTTCAAGTAAGTCTATCTGTTTATTTCTTACCTTTTTAAGTCCTACCAAAAATAATTTATTCATGTAGGATATTTTAACATATGAATGTCAAGTTTTTTGAAGTAATATTTTATTCCTTACCGTCCAGTTTAGTATACAGACTATGTGAAGAACTGACAATAACAGAATTTATTTTTTTAAAAGCCAGTTATATGTATATATTGTTTACTTATACAGCTGTCTATGTCTAACATTAAATTAAAATGCCACTAATTCCAGGCACGTCTGTCATTTAAGTAATGAAAAATACTAGAGTATATTTCCATGTGGGTTATTACAACTTATCGGTTTGTTTACTTTTTGTTGAACTAATTGTAACGTGTTTTTCACATTTTACTTAATTTAATGAAATATTAACTTAAAACAACTTTATTATTCCATGTTTTTTTTTTGTAAATGATGGATTGATTTATTTATATCGGTGCTGATAAATTTTGTGTCTTACATTACAGTCCTTATAATAAACTTAGTTCACCATTTCTTTCATTTTCTAATGGTTTACTAATATTATTCGATAGAATATATCTTGTTTGTATTTTTAACAATATTTATCGAAAAAATTACAAAAGCAAATATTTGAAGGGTAGATGAAATTAAACTTATTATAATTACGTTTGAATAGTCTTTTTTCTATAACTTTTTTGCGTTTAATATAAATAAGATATTTCAATGAAAAACAGGTTTTCAATAAAAACCAATTTCATGAAAGAAACTTTCTCATTATTCGTGTTAAGTGTCATTGTTTATTTTTATATAAAAAAAGGTAGGCTCCGCTTTGCGCAACGAATATTCTTCAAGTGCTAAAACTTTGAATAAAGAAATATTAAATTTGAATAAGAAAAAACGTCAACTTTAGCACGGCCCTAAAATGTTTTCAACTTGTCGTTTTCTTTGAAGTCATATCTTTTTGTTGTGATCGTAATATAAGACGATCACAAGTATAATTAAAGAAAGTTTTTTTAATTATTTACACTCGCCGGTGGTTGAAATTCCACCAATTGCAATGAGTACACAGGGTTTATTTTTCAATGATACACGCACACTGACTTACGCCTGTTTTTTAATCTCATACACTATTGTGGTTTCCGTACATATAGCAATTTTGTAAAAGAAATGTATTTTATACAACAACCCTATATTTAGGACATTTACTTTATTAATATTGTGTTAATGCGTTTTAAATGAGCATCCACACATTTTTTTAGTACCATCATAGAAATTTAATAATTCCAACGCCATAAAAATCGGTCCAGCGCCGTTATTAACTACAGTAACTACGCCGACTTTCTTTTATATACATATATCTATATTTAAATTATATCTACACATAATAATAAATTTATAGGTCGATTCAACTTCGCATTCGCGTAAAATGCTTCTCATGTACCAATAATGATTGAATCTTTCGAACCGTAAATAATCTACGAACACAATAACAAACAAATCGTAAACTCTCTTGAATTTATTGGAAAGTTATTTTTCCATGCTAGTACTCCTACTGTAATTTCTGAGTTCACTATTACATCATAAGTTTATTTATATAATTGGTACTAGCTGAGGTTTTCGACTTTGCCTGCTTTTTTTTAAATAAAAGATTATTATATGACCGTCCTTGTGATGACCAAACACTTTCGCATTTATAATATTAGGACAGATTAGTTTGCATAATTATTTTCTCCATTATTATTTATAGCATTATTTACTCAATTTGATCATCTCTGTATCTAGCAGCTTATCTCCACAACGTATTGCATGTAGCATTAACTTGTATTCTCTAAAATACCATCTTTTTATGGGTATATTTGTTTTAATTAGCACAGATGTTTGTCTAAATATTTTATGTTTGTATTTACAAATGTTTGTTTTTTAGTATATCTATCAAGTTGTCTTTTACATACATTAGAAGCTAAGCTAAGTTTCTGAGACACTGAGACTTGAGACATGGTCTATCTGTATTAAATTTTATTAAAAATTATTCGCCATTTATAAATGTTGTTTCCCGAGTAACAACGTTTCTACGTTAGTGACACAAATATAAACATTTTAATAGACTTGGTATTAATAATTTTATTAGGGTAGTAGAATTAACTCATTATAATCATAAAAAAACGTATAACCAATATATCTTAGATATTAAACTATTTTGTTCTTTTCTTTTAAGTTTTTTTTATATAATATAGCTTATATACATGAACAGCGGCACAGCCATCACGTTATCATAGTACCTCTTACGCGTTATCATTCTGGAAGACAAAGTTATACGTCTAAAGGTACCTTGTAATTTCACTGGCAAATGTATTTCGGTTGAAGGCTCATTTAGCTGCTTATCGGTAGAAATATGAGTATTTCGGATGTCGTACCAAGTCTATTTCTGGTAAAATATACATATATTCACATGAGAAAGAAAGTGGCAAAATACGTCCATAGTTGAAATAGTATGTTTATGTTTTAGTTATTATGAATAACTTCTATTTAGCATATTAACTACCTGTTCAATATATAAATTCGTTTCGCTACCGTTAGGCAACCGCCTTGAAAAGATTGCTTCCAGCAATAAAGTAGCCTTATTGTAATTATTCATGTGTTGTTTAATTTATTGTTATACTACTATCTATATATCTATTATTATATTTTATACGTTCTCTTACATCTACACTCCCAAGTCCAAAATAAATTTATTATGAAAATGAGTTTTTGAACAATCTTCTCCAGAGACAAACATTACAAGCGTCTGCTAATGAAATTATGTGAAAAGTTATTCTTAGTCTGTAATACAATTATTAATACACTTATTAATATCACCATATTTGTTTCAGGTGTAAACACAAAGGATTTTATGGCAAAATTAGGAGAATATTTAATATTAACAGCATTCTCGCATAATTGTCGACTGGAGAGGGCGTTTAAATGTTTAGGCACTAATTTGACTGAATTTTTGACAACACTTGATAGTGTACATGACGTGTTACATGACCAAGTAAGTATGGATTGTGCCGTCTAGAAATTAATTATAAGCCAACACTTGTTAGTATACATGTTGTGTTACATGACCAGATCAAGTAAGTATGGATTGTTCAGTCTAGAAATTAAATTTAACAACAGTTGATAGTGTACATGACGTGTTACATGACCAAGTAAGTATTGATTGTTCCGTCTAGAAATTAATTATAAGCTAACACTTGTTAGTATACATGCTGTGTTACATGACCAGATCAAGTAAGTATGGATTATTCCGTACAGAAATTAAATTTTACAACACTTGATAGTGTACATGACGTGTTACGCGATCAAGTAAGTATGGATTGTTCCATCTAGGAATTAATTTTTGACAACACTTGATAGTGTACATGACGTGTTACGCGATCAAGTAAGTATGGATTGTTCCATCTAGGAATTAATTTTTGACTTGATAGTGTAAATGACGTTTTATATGATCAAGTAAGTATGGATTGTGTAGTTAGAAATTAACGGCAGGAAGCCTTTGTAGAACGTCTGCATGAGTAATTGGTACCTCTATGTCACATATTAATTATGCTAACAGGCAGCTTCCTTGCATACTCCGTTCCGGTGTAAGGAGTAAGTTTAATAGTGAAATTACATAGAGTTTAGTATTTACTAGCTGAACCTGCGACTTCGTATCTATGGTATGTACGGTCGGAAAATGAATAGGCTATATATAACTTTTTGTTTGTAAAACAACAAGAAATTGGAACATAAAAGAACCATAACTTTTTTATTAACATTAAGTTAAGCGTACTTATTATACATAGATATGTAGCACACAAACGCACAAAATAGACAAACAGACAAAAATTCTAAAAACTATTATTTTGGGATTTGTTATATTGTTAAAGTCCTCCAATGATAGGGTTTCTTATACATCTTCAATTGAAACAAGTAAAATTTTTATTACAACTATCTGTAGAATTTCATCTCAACCGTAGATTTGTGGATCTATACAAATAAATAAAATTGTAGTGTCTGTTTGTAATTTCAAATCACAGCTTTTAACTAAATGCATATGAAAGTATGTATAGGTATAGGTATATCTTGCTAATCTCTGCAACCGCCGATTTTTATGGGACTTTCAACCGCAGTATTTTAGAATTTTTATTTGTTTTAATTAAAAATAAAGTTACTTTCCACACGAACGAAGTCGCGTGTAAGATATAGTAAATAATAAAGTGTAAATTCATGAATAAATTCACCTTTATATTATTACTCAGTGTAATTACATTTCAATCAGATTTCCGATAAATATAATTAAAATATAGTATTTCGTATTATAAACAGAAGCTTGTATTACGATTAATTTAAGCTTCAATTTACTATGTACTCTTAATAGAAAAAGTAATTAGATTTAAGTTAATATTTTACTATCTGATTGAAATTAAACAGTTAACTAAATATTTAATATTGAAATTTGGTACAAACCTTGAAAGTTACTGTAATTTTCGTTCCTTTAATTTAAAATTAAATTATTAAGTAATATTTGGTTTAATAATAATGAAATAAGAGCGTTAGACAATATTGAAATGAATCACAATTCGATAGTTTTATATATAAATAACATTATTCATAGACAAAGCTATCGAATTTTTTACGTTAACAATTATATAATTGTAAGAAAAAGTGTAGGATAACGTCATATTTAATAGTTTCGAAATTATGACGTTAGACGGCCTCAGTAAATAATTTAAGCTATTTGTAAATTTATACGGTCAAACGGAACATTTTTGTATTATTCTATTGTGTAAAGAATTCGGCATCTTAATTAATAAAGAAACACAATGTTGGACTTACACGTGGTGAGCTCCTTATTGTCTTTCTTTTACTGAACCAATCTCCAGTACAATTTTGATCTGGTATTGTGAACACTGTTGTTAGCCGTTGAAGAATTAATAATTATTCAACGGCTATGACTCTAAATTTGAAAATATAATCAAATTCCAAAATTGAAAATATAATAAATGTTCCAAATTCAAAACAATCTAGAACATTCGAATCGACTGAGGATAACGATTATCATTCTTGTCAGGACGACGCCCTAAAAGACGAGGCGACGGAGTACGAAGCTGCCTTTGTTTGTACTACCTCCCAAGAAGGCAAGATTGAGTTACACCTGACGACAGAGAGCGAACCAGTGGCATATTTACTAGTGGGCAGCTTGAAGGCCATCGCCAGAAGATTGTACGACACACAGACAAATATAAGACTGACGAGTTATACTAACGATCCTAGGAGATTTAGGTAAGTTTTTTTAGAAGGATATTAATTTTTGTATTTAGAATTTGTTTCAAAATTAGGAATGAATAAAAGATAATATTTATATCACACGCAATCGATATTGTCTAAATTTGGAATTTTTTAAATTTGGTGTATCCAATATAGTACAATTTATTCAATTCAATAGAATTTACTTAATTCGCATTAAACGATTAAATAGCGGTCAAACGCGCTCAAATTATGATATAAAAAAAAATTAGTATAAACTTATTAACAAAGTGCAAACAGACGCTGCGATTTCACAGTTTTAGAAAAAATATTTGAAATACCTTGCAACCAAATATATATACCATACATAATGTTTTACATATCGATAACGCAACTTTTTTTTTAATGTAAAAGAATAATACGTATTAAAACAATTACTATACATATTCTATTAATGGTGTTTGCATTTGTTTGTGTAATGTACAAGTAAATTAGTAACTTAGATTAGATTAGATAGGCTTGTTGTGTTAAATGTTGTTATAAATATTAAAACTATACAGCCCTATATCTATTGTGTGAAAAATAGTTATTTCTCATACAATAGATAAAAGTAATTTTCCAGTCATGGTTTTTGTCACGATATTTTAACATTAACACGACATTGTCTACTGTTCTCTGCACAATAAAACATATAAAAATATCTAATATTTTTATACGCGGAGTCGATAAACTTTGATAATAAGTACTCGTGATTATTTTATTCACGCTACGTACCATCCGGCTCGAAGGACCAGATGGTACGTGATGATGGTTTCAGCAGATTACAGAGTATATAAATGATAGATTTCGCTTGACTTTTTTGGATTTATTAGGTGAATTCCATTTATTCTCCATTGATGAGTGTACAAAAAAAGTATGTTGCTTCGATCGTATTCAATTTTGTAGGTATCTACGTTGCAATCAGAACTCTCCTTCAGAGTTGCGTTTTGTTGCTGTACACGACACATTGTTATAAACATTATGGTGTACACATTACATAAACGATATACATATTGACCACAATATTATTAATTTAAAAGTAATATGAAGATAATAAATTTTAAGAAAGGTGTTACATATAAAAGTGGATGGTTATAAACGCCCTGTAAGGCTGAAAAAGAGATGACTGCGAACAGGGATGAACGGAAGAGACAAACATATTACGGCGACCGCAAATAAATGGATAAAGAAGAAAAATATGATGAATATTATTTAAGAGTAAATATCCAGTTTACATAAAGCTTGCTGCTCATATTAAAAACAAAAATACAAAAGACAATTATTAATTTATACTAAAATGGAGAATAATAATTTACGTATTATGTAGAGAGTAAATTACAGAATTTAAGAGATCTGTTGAGAATATTAAAAAAATATAATAAAATTCCACAATCTGTAATACTAGAATAATTGAAGTCGTTATTAGCCAATCAAAAGTGTACTAAATTTATATTTATTTATTGTTTGTTCTGTTTATTTGTATTTGTAGAGAGTAAATATTATGAAAGTTGCTTCAGTATATTTCTATAATTATACACCTAGAATACATATTAAACATATACAAAAGTTATATATTTTCCATGAATAAATTACGTATATATCTGTACATATACAGAGTCAAGTTTTAAATTGAGTTTGTTTTAAGCCATGTATAATTATTCCAGTCTCGTTTGGGAATAAAATAGTAATTAATGTCTGTCAGATTTCTAGTTTACTAGAGACATATTACGTGGTTTCAACCCCGCATGACTTGACACCATTCATGCTTGTAGATGGTTGAAGGAAAACCTATTTTTGTAAACGCTTAATAGCAAATTCATTCCCTTAGATAGGAAGTTACCTCGTAACTGAGACGAAGTTCTTAACACTCCATGGAGTCACGGTACGGGTGCCAGGCCCATCGTGTGGCAAAGAAGGAAACTCCGAGCAGTTCCCGGGACTTATGACCCGGGTGTAGGTTTAAGGGGTCCCTTTGCCAACATACGTCAACACAGTTTTTGAGTTTCTCTCTCTCTCTACGTAGCCAAATCTGGTAGGAGCCAGCGAATGCAACGCTAGATATACGTTCTAATATAGAACTAGATAGGCTAAGATCTTTCTACATATTATGAAAACTTGAGTATTCTAACCTGGGTTGATCTTGAATGAAAGCGTTTGTGTGATTATCTCTATCTCTCCTATGTACTTCTTCCACTAAGCAGCTTGCTTTGTAAGCTGCTATGTTATTTAAAACTTGTATTATGATAGTGAAATTAGAAGGTATAAATGATACCTTAGTACTTATGAATGACAAATGAGTATCAGTCGTCAGGTGACAATATGATGTCAAGAAGACGTGACAGAACCTTCAGGAATGGTAACGTACGAGGTACTCACATCGTTATCTAAAGAAAGATATATCTGTGGTGCAATTAAAGTCATTAAGTGTTAGGCGCCACTTGTCGTCAGTTTGTTTGAGATTACAGTTACATAAAAACATAACATCATAACAAAAGATATTACATTGATACAAAACCCCTTTCCGCACAAAACCTTTCTGAAACAAAACATCCGTAACATGTTTTTGCCAATCGTGTAAACAATTTTTGACATCCATTTCATCAGCCTTTCCTTTCCGACCAGTGATTATTTGCTCAGTGTTCCGACCCACTGAGCCGATCGACTGAAACAGATCAACTGTTTTTCTATCTCAACTACAGAACTATATATGTGATTTATGGTTTTGAATACATTTCATATCTGTTCGCATAGAATTATTTTACTCTAATAGCTGTATAACTAATTTTGGATTATGTATCTAAATTTATATTTATACTACGTTATATTAACATCATTGCTTTGCCTTTATCCTATTATTTGAAGTCAGCGCTTTATGTTATCTTCTCCCACTTTATGTTTGATCTCTATTAGTTGTCATATCTGAGCTTACTCTCGTTTTACACATATCATCTTTTACACAATCCAACATTTAATTCAACGTTATATATAGTTATGTACAAATATAACATACTATAAATAATGAATATGAAATATTTAACTAGATTTAATATACAAACTGTCGTAGTTCTTGTAGAAATTTTTCAGAAAATTGTACATAAAATGACAAATAAAAGTTATGTCATAGACAATGTGATAGTACATATTTATGGTCATAGTTTGTTTCTGTATAGTTGGAGTAATGTATTGTATGTATTGTAGGTATGTGAAAATATTGTAAGACATTGTTATTGTGAATCTTACTAATATTATAAATGCGAAGTTTGTGAGTATAGATGGATGGATGGATGTTTGTTACTCTTGCACGCAAAAACTACTCAACGGATTTTGATGAAACTTTACAGCAATATCAGAATAACACGTAGGCTAAAAATTAAAAGATATTATGTAAATTGAGCGAAATATATTGAGTCAAGTAAGTGTGATGCAGATAAAGTTACTCGGGTGAGCAAGTATGTATGTACATATATAGATATACTGAGGACAATATTTTTATAATAATAATAATCTCAGGACAATTCACACAGCGCCATCTAGACCCAAGTTAAGCTAGCTAAAGCTTTTGTTATGGGTACTAGACAACTGATACATAGATATTTTTTTTTTGTAAATACATACATATTATACATAGAAAACACCCAGACCGATACAAACAATCATACTCGCGAATACAAAATGTTTGTGTCGTGTGAGGAACCGAACTCGCGACCATCAGTCGTAAAGCGGTGTGCTAGACCGCTAGACCACCGAGGTCGTCAGTTTATATTTAACATAGACATACTTATGTTGTGATAGTTGTAATTTAATTACCTGCAATCAGCCGCTGTACCACCTTTCACTATTATACTGTATATAACATTCATATAATATTGTACTAGGTAGTTTGAGTAGAGTTTCTGTTCATTAAAAGCGATCTATGCAGTTTCATTGCCAGTCAAGTAATGGAACTGAAATGTCGGTAGTTTCAATTGAAGTGTGCTTCAATATTATTGGAACTACAGAGACTCGAGTCCTATTTCAGTCAGAATTCAGTACATTGACATAAATTGGTTGAAAGCCCCTTTGCAGGACATAGCACTTTGTACATCTCTTCAAGGAATGTATAATTATCTACTGTTGTTAATTAGTAAGTGAGTTAGTTATTAATTCTGAGTTTATTGTATGTTTATTAATATACTTTATATTAATATTGATTGACGTTTATGCTTAAGAGGAGACTTTCAGACGGCCTCAGTGGTCTAGTAGTTTAGCACACCGCCTTACTTCCAATGGTCCTGGGTTCGATTCCTCGCATGGTACAAATATTTGTATTAATGAGTATGATTGCTTGTATCGCTCTAGGTACTTTATATGTATATATTTAACAAAAAATCCACATATTTGCCACAGTTATTCAGTACCCATAACCCAAGCTTTAGCTAGCTTAACTTGGGTCTTCACGTCGCTGTGTGAATTGTCCTGAGATTATAAAAAACGGAGGCTTCAATAACTGTATACAATTTAGTAAAAATTGTGTTACCTATATATACATTTTGAATTTGAATTGATTATTGTAGTATAAAAAATATTTTTACTCTACAATAGTGACAAATCAGCACACATCTTGTTTTACCTAGATTTTAATACTATATGAATATTTACAATTCAAATACAAACGATATTGATTCGATAATTGCATACTAAATAATAATACTAATTATAGTAGTATTTGTATTCATAACTGTAGTTATTAATATCCTATTACCTATTAGAGATTTGAACATGTTTTGTTGAAATCTTATGCAGTATTTTTATATATTTACTTAGATTAACATCTGTAGGGGTTTAATACGCAGTGTTAATAAATAAAGTAAAATATTTATATACTTTTAAAAGTAAAAGGCTCAGAATATAAAATTCATTCACAATACAAGACACCGAATACACTACCTTTCTGAATATAAAATTCTAGTTGCAATATCTTCTATATGGCCAAATATAAATTTAATAACCAAAGTTCCAATAAAATTAACAGTAATTTTATTGTCTAGATTATCCCCAGGTCCATGAATTGCACAAAATAATTCTCAGTTAGTTTCATATAGACAGAGTCTGTAGAACTTGAAAATTTGATTTGTAGAGGATGGCGAGCTAATTGACACTAATTGAAAATATGAATTGTAGAAATATTACTTTGTATTATATTCTTTCATAAAAACTGTTTTACGACAGGGGTTGGGTAATTAATAATAATAATAACTCCGGGATAATTAATACAGGGTCACCGAGTCCTAATATAAACAGATATGTGATAGAAAAACTTAAATATATTTTTTTGTAAATACTTACATAATGTATATAGAAAACATCCAGCCTAATACAAAAATCATACAAAAGTTTTCATTATGCGAGGAAAATAACCCGAGATAATCGAAAATAAAATATATATGAATCAGATATTAAACTGTGTTCACATTTTATATTACTCAACAATCTTTACTTAGTAATACTCAAAGAATATATCTAATATAAAGCAAATCCAATTTTATAGCTTAAGCAATAAAGATAAAATTTGAATAGCTCAAAACATATTACACAAATAAATAATATAAGTCAATACAATGATATTTTGTATTACAGATACGAAATCAATGCAAATCCACTCCGCCAGAAGTCAAGAGATGACAACTGTGAACAGAATGAATCTGTCTCTATAGCATCCTCTAGCAACGTGGCTGACTTGAAAATCGGTGTGGCTGGCTTCTGTAAAGCATTCCCATGGCACTTTGTTACGGATAAACGACTCGAGTTGGTGCAGTTGGGTAAGTTTCTAAATATTTATGTGACAATTCTAGTAAACTTGTCTATCAGGTATAGTTGCAAACTACATAAGCATTTATTGTAGTAAATAACCATTACTCGCGGGAACTTAACTATACTTACAGGGTGTCTTTCTACAGACTTATAGTTATATATATATATGGATGGCAACAAATACCGATAAAACAACGGTAGCTACTGACTTTCAATCCAATCCAGAACTGTTTTATAACGCGTACAAATATAAATAATTATTTAATGTAGAAAAAAAACTGAGCAATGTATAATTTGCATGACATTTATTAACATAAAACAAAAGACAACGGACGTTCGTTCTCCTATTTAATTAAAAGAATGTTCACTTTATTATTTATTTATTTAATTTAGACTACATGGCCCATATTAAAATACCTTTTTGAGTAACATACAAATGAAATAATAATAAAATACAAATATGAATTGTCTGTGTGGGCACGGCACTAACAATAGGAATCTACCGCGGTAGGGCCGATATACCACCCTCTTCGGCGAGTAGTCCTCTATCGTCTCCTTATTAGTGGCTAATTATATATTTAAGAACTCCAGTGTGTATCTCGACTGGAATTTAACCAATAGGTGACCGATGGATTATAGGTATCTGAAGCCTATCAAACAAGTAAACTATTAGTTTGTGGAACATAAATTAATATGGAAACGGCTTACAGTAAAAATAGCATAATAACTCAGCTACTTTCAAGGTATTAAAATAATGAACATGCCTAAACCGATAAAAACATTTAGATAATGAAACATATTGGTTAAGATAGCAGTAATGAAATAGGGAAAATTAATTGAATAAGTATCGAATGGAACAAAGGAATTTAAAAAATTTGGAGCATTTGAACATAATTCCTAATAATTACAACACTACAATTCCTATATAATTAATTGTTCTTTCAACGTTTTTATTAATTGGTTAGATCATTAAGTTTTATTGTGTAGAATTTATTTTGTACTTGGTAACTTAAGTTCATATAATATTTCTAATGAGCTGTAATTCGAGTTTTCGTGTTGTTAAGCTCTGTCTTTTATTTAAATTATATCAATACTTCAATTGCCTAAATGTTTAAGAAATATCCGTTGAACAGACTTAAAGGTTTCTTTATATTTTTTTAAATAAATGAAGATACTTTGGATGTAGATAAAAATAGCTCGTTGTACTAAAAGCAGTATAATGTCGTGATGAAAATTCCTACATGAAAAAATACATTAAATATCTCCTGAAAGTTCCAATAAACCAATTGGAGATAGATAATAGACGCTGAAACTAATAATGGAACAAAAACGTTTGTAACATAAAATAAAAAGGGCTTTTTTTGCGAATAAAGTTTATTTATAGTGAGATTCAGAGCTCTTTTGTATAATGTACTTCGAGACGTTCACTTAGATAAGAAAATAAATTGTTTTATATCTTCATTAAATGGAAATAAGTTCTTTTTTTACCAACACTCTTTAGTAATAACAATAACTTAGGACAATTCACACAGCGCCATCTAGTCACAAGCTAAGCAGAGCTTGTGTTATATTTATTTGTTTATATATATAAACTGAAATGCATAAAACATTACATATCTATTTTGTAACAGGAGTAAATGAAGTATAAGTGGGACTTCTCAGTCTGAAACTTCCAGAAATAAACCAAAGAAGATTGAATACTAATTAGCCTGAACAATTGACATAGTAATCGAGTTTATCGAGCTGTTATTTAATATTTTCGATAATCAAAAAAGATTTAACAACGACTGAGTCCATTTTTACTATAACTGGTATAGCGATTTTAAACTTCCTCTAAGATACAACTGAGATATTCAATCCGAATACAGAATTACAACAAAGTTATTCAAAGCAACTAAACTAAAGACCATTAAGTAGGATATTCGAAACAAGTACGGTTTCGCCGTGGATAAATCAATATCAACTCTGAATGGGGTATTCAGATTACACAGTGATAAATTAATGTAAACAATTATACATCATGTATTGTTCTAAATACAGACAATAATTACAAACAATACAGATCATTCTCGAATTATAGAAGCACCTACTAATATCATAAATCAACCGTGAGATTTAGATACTACTGATTTTATATAATACTAGCGAAGCCGGCGAACGTTATCTTGCCATATAAATTAGTATCGCTATTCAAAAATAAGGGTTGATGGTATAAAGGCGACAATTTAGAGCTGTATAATAATATTTAGAGTATGTATTTTTAAATGCTGTATCATAATTACAAATAAAAAAAATTACCAAAAAATAAAAAAACATATTTTTGGAGTGGATGACCCTCATCACTTAGTAAAAATAGTTTTCAGACCTATTGAATATGCACACAGAATTTTATAAGCTTCGTTCAAGCCGTATCTTAGGAGTTTTGTTAGAAACACTGTGATAAGAGAATTTTATATATTAGACTGGCCATCGTGAGTGCAGACTCACGATGGACAGACTAATGGTATAATGGAAAAAATACTAGTAAATATTTCTTTTACAAAACTATATCTATCTATATATTATGAGAGTAAGGGAGAGGCCCTATCTGTTAGTCTGGATATTGCGAAGGCCTTTGATCGGGTTTGGCACAAAGCTCTTCTTTCAAAGCTACCATCCTTCGGGTTGCCTGCGAAGTTATGCAAATGGGTCGCCAGCTTTCTCGCTGATCGGAAAGATCGTTGTCGATGGTGCTTGCTCCGACCCAACTCTGTGAATGCTGGTGTTCCACAAGGCTGTGTGCTGTCTCCGACTCTGTTCCTTCTGCATATCAATGACATGTTACAAATCAACAACATTCATTGCTATGCGGATGACAGTACCGGAGATGCCTTGTACAGCGGCCATGCTAATATGTCGCAGGCAAAAGTTATAGAGTACCGGAACAAACTTGTGTCCGAAATCGAAACTTCACTACATCAAGTTTCGGTTTGTGGTCTGAAAAATTGTGTTCAATTCAACCCCAAGAAGACACAAGTTTGCGCGTTAACCGCTAAAAAGAATCCATTTATCGTATCTCCACACTTTCCTTGATGTGAAGCCAAATCTCGAGGTCCTTGGCGTTGATATATCCAGTGATGTTCAGTTTTCTCCTGGTATTGCGGGTGCTCATGGGCGGCGGTAATCACTTACCATCAGGTGATTTTTGTCCCCTATGTTATATCAATCTATTATTATTTACATCTCGTCTTTTAACGATTTTTTTCATATATCCATACGTTTTCTTTAATACTAACCATCACCAGACCATTACAAATATAACAAAATCAAATACATGATGGATTAATCTCCATTTTATAATGCTTTTATATATATTCAAAGATTTAAATGTCAAATAAAACAGTTCCTTTGCAAAAAGCTTACTATAAAATTGAAAAATTCGTTAACGATAATAATGTTTTTATAGAAAAACTTTAAATCCATAGCACTGACAATATTATCTGATTACACTAATAATGAGTGCGTAGCGATTTCTATGTTGATTATCGCATACCTCTTACTTGTTATACTGTAGTTCTTTAAATAAAAAAAACATCTATTAAAAAGAGCAAAACACAAGTTTCTTGCTCATTCTTCTTGTGATGAATCTGCATTCCGAATGAGTGGTAGAATCAAAATATGACTATTCAAAAGTGCTTGTAATGAGTTTATTTGAATAAAGATTATTTCTATTTCAATTAGACAACAAATTTGCATTGCATTTAAAAAAGCAATCGTTCTTTGAATATCGAAAATATACTCCTATTTCGATATTGTAGTAAAATAAATGACAAATACATGTATTCAGTTGACTGGAATCGGCCGTAAGAATATACATAATAAGATTTGTGAGAGATCAATTTCCTCGAATAAATAGATGTCCATATCCAAATACATCTTAATGCTATTTCCTGCTGACCTAAAAGCACTACAGATGGACTTGTTTGAGAATAGAAATACCTTCATATTGAGGGGATTAAAATGTTTTTAGAAATATACGTACATATAAAGTTATAATAATAGTAATATAAACCTGGATAATTCACACAGCGCCATCTAGCCCCAAGCTAGACAGAGCGTATATTATGGATAACTAGACAACAGGTAGAAATACTTATAATACTTTTTATAATTTCCATAATACACATAGAAAACACCCAGACCGATAAAATCAATCATACTTAGGAATACACATGTTTGTACCGTGCGAAGAATCGAATCTGCGATCATCGGAAGTAAGACGGTGTGCTAAACGGATAGACAACCGAGGCCGTCAAAGTTAAAAAGTTAAGATGCACTTTGTAATGGCAACGCCTGTTGAGTACCGTGATCATCAAAAACGTGTTTTATTAATTAATTAATTAAATAATATCCATGATGGTATAATATTAGTATTAGTTAATGGAAAAGTGGGAAGAATCACCATTGATTATACTATCTTTGAATTTACCATCAACCAGATTGATATTAAATAGAATAGAAAATCATTTATTCAAATAAACTTAATTTAAGTACTTTTGAATAGTCATAACAATTTGTTTTTTATCTACCATGTAGATACAATGTCATACAAAACAAAGTTTTTGGTTATAAGTTGATAATCACTAAGGACAAACGATTTTATAAATATAGACAATTGTCATATGTGACAGTTGCAAATTTATATCTAAATATATATAACTCAAAGGTTACTGACTGACATAGTGATCTATCAACGTACAGCCCAAACCACTGGACGGATCGGGCTAAAATTTGGCATGCAGGTAGATGTTATGACGTAGCCATCCCCTAAGAAAGGATTTTGATAAATTCCACCCCTGAAAGGATAAATTAACGCGAGCGAAGCCGCGGGCAAAAGCTAGTAAGATATAATTTATTTAATTTATTCGTCTTTAAAATAATTTTACTGATATTATATATGTATATAAAACTTTCATTATCTATGCCTGAATACAACCATCGGATCACGCTAGCCCAGTTTTCCTCAACC